TTTTTTTTTTTTTTTTTTTTTTTTTTTTGTACCAGGAATCAAACTCAGGGCCATGAGCTTGCCCAGCAGGCTCTGTGCTGCTGAGCTACATCGTGGCTCTGCCTCAGGGAGGAAACAAACACCCACCGTGGTCCTGCTTCCAGGACTGCAGAAACAAGGGGTGAACAGACGGACAGGGAGGAGAGAACGTGGCGGGCAGAGGCGCTCCAAGTCCGCGCTCACCGCCTCCCGACAACCCAGTCTGCCCTTTGTGGGTTCGCCTGCTGTATTTGTAACACTGAAAGTTCATCAAATCTCACGCTGGGAGCAGTCTGCTTCCTTAAGTTTTAAGCTGTGCTCTGGTCTGTTACGGAGTGGATCTCCTGTGCCCTCCAAAGAGCCATCTGTTGGGAGCCTGGTCTCCAGCCAGCGCCACTCCACAGGAAGTGCAGGAACAGGAGGTAGGGAAAGAAAGGTCACTGAGTGTGTACCCTTCAAAGCACACTCTCATTTTTGGCTTCCTGGCTGCCACGAAGTGAGCAGATCTGCTCCTCATGTGTTCCCCATCATGATGCCTTCTGTCTCACCCCAGCCCCAAAGCCACAGGACCAGGCAGCCATCGACTGAGACCTCTGAAACCATGAGGCAAAATAAACAGCTCCTCCTTGTAAGTTTACTTACTCAGGCATTTCATTAAAGTGATGGAAAGCTAATACATGGCCCAAAAATACTATGGGGAAATTTCTAGACATAAACAAGTTGTTTTAAATTGAGCACTGTTTTAAAATCTTGTGACGTATCACTGAGTACCAGTTCTCTGTGCATTGTATCCACGTTATATACACTACCCATCCACTAAGTCCCTCAGCAGCAATCTGAGTTCTCTCTCCTGTATCACAGTGCTTGTAACTCTTATTTGACAGTGGCCCCAAAGTCAGGTATAGTGATGCACAGAAGGCATTAGGAAACCAAAGCTCTGAACTACGTGGCAATGGGACATATTTTTTTTAAAAAAATACATTGGTTCCTTCATACCCTTAAGGGGATTAGCTCAAAGATAAATCCCCTTTGCCCCTCCACTTGATAGATACTAACATCTGTAGATGTTCAAGTCCCTTACATAAAACGGCATCGTATTTGCTTATAACCTATGCACCTACAATTACATCCTCTCACATACTTTAAATCATCTCTAGATTACTTGTAACAACTAAGACAATGTAAATGCTAAGTAGCTGCTACATTGACTTGCTTAGGGGATGCCAAGAATGTATGTACTGTACAATCAGACACAATTTTCCATTTTGTTCAATTATGGGTTGAAATTATTCACAAAAGCAGACCAACGTTCTACCCATGGTTTTAAACATCCACCAGATGACTCACTGGATCCCCATGAAAAGGGGGGCACTACTACACTTAAACTGATCACCAACTTTAAATAAATTAACATAACTAATCAAAATATTGTCCCTCAGCCTGGGTATGGCTGCTTCAGAGACTAAGCGTGTGACTTCAGGCTTTCACAATCACTTTGGGCCTCTGTTGTTTCGCTAAAAATCTGTGAATGTGAGGGACCTTTCGGTCTTTCCTGTACTTGAGCATCTAAGATTGCTATTTTCTTGCCTAAATATAAACTCTCAAAATGCCCAGGAGAAAAAGGAGGCCTTGAATGCTGGATGAAATCCACCTGGTCACCAAGCCAAGCCTTTACAACGGTCCTGATCCCACCTCTGCAGAGACTGCTGGTAATGGCCATCTGTCACTCTGACATTTCCATGGATTTCATCAACAATGCAAGGTCCATGACGATCCCACAATTTCTGACGTGACTTGCTGTATGAGCCACAACTATATGATCTGAAAGATCTGTTTACCAGCATCAATAAACTACCAACAGTAGCTTTTCTGAAAACATTAAAAAAGTAGAAGGCAAAGGGGGGAGGGTCGATGAGAAAAAATAAGAAACCAGACTTTTCTAAATACGCATTGTAGTGGTTTGTTAAACAGTCACCTTGTTCTACAAGTGCTCTCTTTTTCAGAGTACTCTGAAAGTGCTTTTTTTCTTTCCTTTTTCCCCCCCTGTGGGAGAAGCGAAGCAATGAAGAAAATGAAAGAGTTCATTTAAGTGCCACATTCGCACAAAGCTAATTTGTAAAAGCTCGATCCAGCTGACTCTACTTAACAGCCACCACTGGTCAACAGAACTCCAGTTGAGAAGCCTAATTGAGATTCTCCGCGAGCACTCCCTTGTCTTAGCAGTTGCACAACGTCTCATTAGGCATTCTCTGCCCCATTCTCTGGAATACTAAATCCAACTCTGCTTGGCCTGAGTTTACAGCTTATGAAGTTCCAACAGATTCAAATAAACCGTTATTGAAAGGCTGTTGGTTGTGTCGTACCCCCATTTGCTTGTTTGTTTCTTTTATCTCAAATTAAAGTTGCAGTGAGGAAGACATTACTTGTACTGGAGAACTGCTTAAAAAATAGAAACAAAAACCATGCCCCACCTTCAACACTAACACACAGCCTGGTCCCCATCAAACACCCTCTCTAGTCACAGCCGAAGAAGTGCTTCCTACAAACATGGATTGTCAGGGTGACGGACGCAGTCCACACAGCACAGTAAACTCTACACAACCTTCTCTTCTCACCTTCTTTAATTCTCTACACAGATGCAAGACTGGAACGTTCATCTCTTATTAGACCAGTGAATGCCTGACATCACTGGAATGTGATTATTTAGCCAAATGACATGTTGTGGATTCTTCTGTGAGTTCTTTAAAAGTGCCTAAAGACGTCTGAGGAATAACTGTCATGGGGAACTACATGTTTACTTTAAATATTTAATTAGAAGCTTCTCTCGTGAGCTGCTCTTGGCACAATTACAGAGAAATCTTTCTTCCTTACTACTACCTTAATACCCAACCAATGTGAGTTTGCCAAGAAGCATGGGCTGGAATGAAAACAACAGAAAGGGCTCCAGGCAATGGCCATTATTACTATTGATGAGTTTTCACTTATCTGTTAGCAACTGCCATATTCATACACATATTTACATATATGTATGTGTGGGTGAATTCTATTACAAACACATATAACCAATCCCTATCCCAAAACTGGCTGAATTATTCCATTTGTGTTTTTCTCACACATACAAAAAAACTGTTTATGGAGTTGCCTCCACCTAAAACAGCATCACTCTTGCAGATATTTCAAAATTTATTTTGTAAAATAAAGGCAAAGTATACTGCTATAAAATTTAAGTGTCTTTCTTCTAAGTGGAGTTATTACACTGTATTTGAATATACTTTTTCAATTTCCAAGATTTTTATGTTATAAATAAATTCCACTGTAAATTATTTTTATTTTTTAATGTATTTTCTACTAAAAATTCAGGCTGCCAAGACAGGAAAATATTACTGGTTATTACAAAAACAAGTGTGAATTTTTAATTCACAAAGAATGAAAACACAAAACACTGATCTTATTGTACACATATTACAATAAAATGATTAGCTGTGGACTAATAAAACACTTAGGACTTCACATACACACATATGCACTTTGAAACAAGAAACATAGGACAATTTTTTATCTTTGATATGTTCATGACCACTAAGAGAAAAATCACAGATCGCAGATTTGAGTCTGTTTTCCTGGTATAAAAGTTGAGATATAAACCAGCCCCCTAAAGCATACTGTATTAATAACGACATCTTTAGGCAAATGCATTCTGATTTGGGACATCTTCTCTCCACCCAAAACAATCTGCTTTTGCTGTCAAATAGTCTGGCTGGTTATCCATTTAACAAGATCACAACAACAAATACAATACTTTTTTCACCACAATTAAAGGGAGAAGTTTTAGACAGGTTATTCCCTCCACTCCAACCCCAAAAAAAGTTCCTAAGGAAGACAATCTGTAAATTTTAAGTGTAACTAAGGAAAAAGAACACTGGTCAAATCATTCACTTTCAAATATGGATGAAGAAATAAAATGTGTGTTGGGCACAGAGGTGTTAACACGGAAAGGACTAGAAAAGTGTAAAATGAGAAAAGCATTATATGGCACGGGAACCACTGGATTCAGTTGATCTTTTAGATGAAGTATAAGAATATGACAGTAAATGAAAAACAAAAAATTTAAAACCAAAATGCACATTTCCAATGGAAAAAAATCTCTAAACCTCTTATAGTTTTCTTTATTAGACATTTCATATACAGCAGTTAATCTAGAAAAATACAATTAAAAAATTTTCAACAGACCATGCTCCCTGTAACAAAACCTTCCAACCCTGTTTTATTATACAAATCAATCTACATTAGTAATGTAAAGAAACTCTCAAATTTGGCAATGTTATTTCCTACCCAGCATCCAATTTACACATGGTTTCTACTATTCAATCTGGAGAGCTGGGATCCTCTAATAATCTTTTTCTAATGTATTCTGTACATATTAAATAATCTAAAAGTTTCCTCTTGTAGAGCACTACATTTAGCAAGTTTATTCAGTATTTTTCCAGTACCATTTGCATTACAGTATTCTGTCTGCAGATGAAATTAAAATCTGAAAGTGCACACAGCTAACTTTCCTAAGGAAAGGCCTATGCCTGGAGGAAACCTAATGTTCATGGACAACATTACCAATGTCATGATTAGAAATGCAGGGTTAGAATGCACTCTGAGGCTATACAACACAACTATATACACAAGCCAAAGGACCTTACGTCCTTAGCCCACATTTACATCAAATATGTCTGTTTCCACAAGGTCACACCAAGAACTCCGTATGGCACTACATATAATTAGGACTGTTAGCTACAATTCTGTATAGCAAGACAGCTAAAAAATACCCTGAACTGAGTTATGCTAGCTAAAACTCCAGTACATCACAGTGTTTTCAGTAGAATTAGTGTGCTGCCTAAACAACAACTACGATATCCAGTAAGGAAGCTGTGAACCATGGTGAGCAACAGCAAGCCTCACCAAGGGCTATAGTAGTTAGGTTACCATGGATTCTAGCACTTACGCTGCCACTGCATGCAAAACCCTGAAAAAGAGATACACAGGTTTCAAATAGGATACACTTCATTTTGTTTTAAATGCCCAAGAGTGTTTTCAAGATAAATGATAGTACTGTTTCACCAAATGAAGAACGTACAATTCATGAGAAGAAATTCTACATTATCCAGTTTGATGGGGGGAAAAATGTACTTTTTCTTACCAAATTATCCAGTGTATATGACTGGTTAGAATTCTAAGTATTGATTTTTACTGAAATTCAGAGTAGGAAATGCAAACATTCATGGTAAAATGAATCCAAAATTACAGTTTTATCACCTCGCAAGAAAGCAGCAAACAGTAGGGCCTAACAGGCATCTTCACACTCCCTTCCCTTCTGACCCCCTCACAAAGTGCAAAATCAAAAGAGCCACTGCTTGGTCCAAAAATAAAACAGACTGTGTATAAAGATCTGAAATCTGATGGCATCCAGCTTCTATCCCACAGGTTATCTTCCATAAGAATCAACGTCCGAAGATGGAACTTAATTCCAGAAGAATTAATTCTACAATCTGATTTTGATAAACAGTATGAACTGCTATATTTCCAGTCTCTTTTTCTGGCTTTAATAAAGTGGGACCAAAAACAATCGCTATACTCTGATAGGTCATTCGGTTTTTTTCTCCATTTTCTACAACTCTAAGGAAAAGGAAAAAAAAAAAAAGTTAAAAGAGAAAACTTAAAAATAGAGAAAATTTTCAAATTGTATTTTAAGCCTAAAAGGCTACATTTAGAAGACAGCTATTGCTAACTTTCCTAGGGTGACACATAAACTATTTTAAAGAGCAAAATTCAATCTGAATGCCACATGAAGCTTGCTTTTGAATAAACACAGCTGAAAGGTATAATTACACATACTGCAACACTTTCAACGTGTGATCTTTTAGTTTAATTTTAAAAATAGAACACAGACTGAAATGTGTGTTACAATTCAGGTAACAATGATCATCCCTGGGGTGGGTGGGGGGGTATCACAAATGGATGACGACATTCCATTAGGGTGCCAAGAGTGAAACTTTAATTGTACAGGTTTAAAAAAAATCTAGCCAAGGTCATTTACTTTAGCATTCTGATATTGTTTTTAACACTGAACAAAACTGGCTAATGTAGAGTGGCTGCGCAATAACATAAAGCTGTGATGGCTTTATTTTAGGGTAATTTAATACACCCCACTTAACAACCAACCTCATCTTCATACTAACTTCAGCAACACTGAACACTCACCATGTGCTAAGTGAAACACGAATCTACTCTAGTGCAGTCTTCACACCAAATGATTCCACCCATGCAGAACTGGCAGTAAAAGGAGCTGAGCATCTTTCTCTGAATCAGAGGGAGCACGCAGCAAAGCAGGCATCAAAGCCTTGGTCTGAGTGGCCCTTCCACACGAGGCTTCCACTTGCACTGTACCAGACCTCCTAGCCCTGCAGTTCTCTTCTTACCTTTTGAGGTGTCTGAAAAGAATCTGCATTGTATCTTGATTTGGTTTTGGCAACTGTCTGATTAGATCCTTAACAGCAGCAACACGCTGTCTTGGTTCTTGTTCTGGGGGGAAAAAAACTAGACGTTTCGCAACGAATTCTTATGAAACTGAAAGCAATGACATAGTTTTAAAGCTGGTATTTGGTAATACACAGTGACATCTGGTGGTTATATTTAAAATTTCTGTAGTAAAACATTGCATTGAAGTCTTGGGTCAAAGTAGAAAGATCAAGCAGAATTTTCAGTATCTAGAAGAACAGTGTGCGGAATTCCATACTTACTAATTGCGTTAACAAAATCATTAAAATGATTAAATGTAAACAGAGGCTCTGGTAACTCCCGGAAAAACATTTTCAGCGCTCCAGTGATGACATGGATGTCTTCCCATTTGCTGTCATTCAAGTCCAATTTCTCATCTGAAAACAGTAGGAGCAGGACATTTGTAAGAACCAAATGCTAAGCCAGGAGCGATACTTCCATGTAAATGGCAGAGTAGGACCTCACCATGATTGACAGCAAACCTCAGCTTCTGGATCACCGCGAGGTTGCCGCTTACTCTGTAGATCCCGTCAACATCCAAACCTAAGAGACAGTGATAGTTTGTGTTTAAAAGACTTTCTGAAGATGCCCATTCAGAATTCTTATTCATTAGCATTAGCTAAGACCGAAGGCACAAATTCTTCCTCTAAATGGCTTTTTATAGACATTTGGCAGGAGGAAAAGAGTGGCAATTCACTCTGAATTCTGTTTAGTAAATAGCAATAATTCTGCTTTATAACGGAGACCGTGGCTTAGCTCAAGAAAAACATTTCGTTCATTAAAATTAAAACACAAACAATTTAAGATACACTGTTGCAAACACCTGGGGACAGTTACGAGAGGAAGCCACAGATAGGATCAACCTATTCACTTTTTTGGTACAAGATTTTCTAAGGTAAATGCACACACTGAAGAACTCTCTTCAAAACACTTGATCATGCTGCACACGCTTAACAGACGGAGTGCCTTATCTGACGTGCTTTCCTTTACCTTCAAAGAAAGGCAAGTAGTGTGCCTGATGCTACACTGACAAAGTCAGTGAGACAAGGGACCTGCAACTGCCCACATCACAAGTCAATTACTAAGTGTTTTAATTATATAAAATATTTCTAATGACATACAGATGTAAACTAATGACTACAGTCAATATACAGCCAACTCATACCAATCTAGCATAAGTATTATTAAAACTAAACAAAATAGAAATTAGCCTCTATTTTCAGAAAATGACATTAAAAAGGCTTTTTGTCTATTTAGTTACTTTATAGTTGATTTAGTTTTAAAATGCCACCTCATTTTTATTATAGGAAATTTTCTCCTTGTAAGTAAACATAATCTCAGATCTTCTACACCACTCCATCATTTCTTAATAAACTCAGTTTTACAATCACTACCTTCTTCATTGTAAGCAAATGGTAACTTCAAATGGCTTCCAAGATTACCAGATGCTTAATTAATCATGACATATTAAACACTCAATAGATGCCTACGGGGATCTTAACTTGAAGAGTAAACATGTAAGTGTTTTGGCAAACAAAATGCTTTTCTTAACATCTTAAGACTATAAGGAACTTTCGGCTGCCTCAATAAAAATCCTAGATATTTGGATCGTGAAACAATGAGAAGGCTTGCTTAATGTGAAAAAACAAAGTCCAACTATTCTCTTACCATGCTCTTCGACATGCTCAATGCACAGCCTCACAAACTTTGGCACTGTGCCACTCTCTCTCTGACACAAATTAGCAAGATTGGCTCCAAATACTTGGTCTGAAAGAGATTTATTTTTAAAGATGAACCACCTTGCTAAGTTCAGGGAGTGGCTAAACCACTCAGAATGCATTAGAAAATACCCGGGATGCCGACACTTTTCACGTGACCCTCAACTTTTCTGACAAGCACCCTTGTTTACTTCTGCAAACTCACCTCAAACAATTCTTGAACACCAAAACTCAGTTTTACCTGAAAGCCTTTCTACTTTCTATTCCTTCTTCCCAAAATTTGGCTTCTTCTCCTCACTCCTGGTCCCAGCTAAATTGTTAGCACCTTAGAAAAATATTCTAAGGATCCTTCTCCAACATACCCCGCTAAAAGGCTCACTGCTATGTCAGAGTCAGGGTACCTGCTGCCACCTGAAATGGTCTCGTCTGTCTGCCCCTGAGTGTGGGTCCCACGAGAGCAGGGAGCTGGTAGTTCTTGAGCACCAACAGGCATGCCTCACACCTAGGCTCCTGCCCAGCACTTATTAAATACTCAACGATTTTTCTCCGGATACATTTTATTTTTTGGAGGGTACCATGGATCAAACTCAGGTCCTTGTGCTTGCGAGGCAGGTGGCAGAACCACTGAGCTAAATCCCCAGCCCTCAAGTATTTTTAATTAACATACATATGCCTGCCCATGTGCCAACACTGGATCTATACATGTGAATTTTAAAAACAAATTTGATTGCTCAAAATGTCTTTGAACCACTGTATCTGAAAACTTCATGAATACAGAATGAAGAACATTTTTGTTATTTGGGAAATTTTGTTTTTAATTTAAAATGTCTTATTTGTGATTTTGACCAACACTCAAATGTTTTTATAAACATTACTTTTCTTACCTACCTTTAATGTAACCTTTTTCACGCACAGCTTGCAAAGTGGGGCGTCGTGTAAGAAACTTCTTTAAGTTTTTCTTGGTTTTTTTCTGTTCTGAAGAATCTATGCTAGATACTTTCATAGCTAAGACAAACAGATATTTAACATTTCATAAAATTTTTTCTAATGTTTCCCACCAAGCACTCAAAACATTCTCATTTGTCAAAATCACAGTACAAATTCAATTAGTCCAGTTATGATGTAGTTTAAGAGTAACATGTGAAGAGTCAAAGTAACACAGACCCAATGTTAAGCAAAACTTTTCATTTCTATCATGAAATGCTGACCACACCTGTATCTTCTCTGGTGTTGTGTCAATATCGCTAATTATTCTAAATTATATTCATCATTTCATAAACATTCAACCTATTTCTTGGATTCTTCATCAGTTTTAGAAGGTAGAATAATGTCACACACATACAAAATCTGTAAAACTTCCTATCTGATTAAATGAGAAGTCTTAATAATATATAGATTTGTACTATGAGCTAAAATGCCTCAAAAGTATTTGTACTATATAAACTGCCTGGAGGACCAGGGATTTAGCTCAGCAGCATAGCGCCTACTTGGCAAGCACAAGGCCTTGAGTTCAATCCCTGGTACCAAAAAACAAAACAAAACAAAGAACTACCTGGAAAATGGTCCTAATTTATCAGTTACAATAATGAAAACTTAAATATTATATTTCCTGAAAATAAGTGTATCTGGGGAAAGCTGAGAGTACAAAAATATATTAATAAAGAATAAGAAGAATTTCATACTGACAGTGCTGCGTGGTGACAATGCCAGTAACAGGCCTAATCTTCATACAAATGAAGGAGAAAAGCACTCATATCCTATTCATTCAGTTCATATGAAGGCCAAAAACTTCTTCAACATGTGAATTAGTTAAAATACACTGAACTGAGTGCAGTCACAGCCAGTGGCCTATTTCAATAACATAGTTCTCAAGGGTCTCGCTGAGAAAGTGCTCTTCCTAGCTTTCACTCGGCTCTCTCTGCGTACATGATCTAAGATGAACATATGCCGTGCACAGCACAGACAGACGCTAGTCCAGACACAGCTGCAGAGAGTTCAGCAGGGAATTATGGTACACAGCCCCTGACTCTGCACTTACAAGTGTAGGATTCTATGTGGAATCGTGAACACTTAACTGCATTTGGTTGGTGGTTGTTGTTTTTCGGTACCAGGGATTGAACTCAGGTCCTTTTGCTCGCAAGACAGGCCGTGGACCCACTTAAAACCACAGCCCCAATTATGTTTTTATAAGTCAGTAAAGCTGAGCTTCCTAGAGGCCTCAAAAGAAGTGCATTATAATAATTTATCTTACATATTGCAATACCCTTAAAATTAATATACCACAGGGAGTCATAGTATGAGTTGAAAAATGAAATAATGAGTTAACAAGAGTACAAGAACACTGGGCTGTACCTAATCTCGCAACTTTTTCTAACATTGGAGGTTGTACTCTGCTTTCAGTATATAAGAATTTATTTGAAACCTCTGAAAAAACTAAGAGAACAAAGTCATTAGCAAAATAAGAAAAGAACAACTTACAACGAAGTTTTTTAAGATCCTTCTGGTCCTTTTCTTTATCCTGCTTTTCTATTCCTGGTGAATCATCAGGTATCTCCTCTTCTACTGCTTCATCAGTTTCTATTGCCTATCGGTTAGAGGTTTCCCAAACACACATTACTTCCTATATTAACTGTAATAGCATAATTTTCAGAAGCAGTAATTTTTATCTGATTTTAGGAAACTAGTTAGTATACAGTATGTATGATTTAGATATTTTGTAAGTCTTTAAACATATTTTCTACCTTGGTGGCATTAATTTTGATCTCCAAAAAGAAAATGTTGCTGCTAACGCACAGGATAATAGCTTAAACTGATGGTGAGACTATCATGTGCACTAACAGCACTGAGAAGGGCCAGCTAAACCCATGGTGATAAAACTTAATACAGCTATATTCTGTGACAACAGATAAGATTTACGGATGTGACAACTATATTAACTACAACAATATAAAAAACCACAGTATTATACTGTGATAAGAGTGTAAGACAGATGCATGGACATTACGAAGTGGAACAAATCCTAGAAATCATCTCATGCTAATCAAGGTAACTTTTAGAGGTTAAAAACTGGACTGAATTTTGGGGGTTTTTTTTGGGACTGAATTCTGAAAGCTAAAAACTTTGTCTTTCAAATGGGGGTCCTTATTGAAATCTTTTGGGGGTATATGGTATAAGGACAGATAACCACTTTTTCTCAGATATCCAGTTGTAAGTGCACCATTTAATGAAAAGCTTATTCTTCCTTGCTGTTCTACAGTGCTTGATTTGACATAAAGTATCCACATACATGTGGATCTCCTTCTGAGTTCTTTACTCTATTCCACAGGTGTGTATGTCTCTCCCTGCATGGATAGAACAAGGCTTAATTATTAACAGCCTTATAAGGTGTGATATATGATACAAGTCCTTTTACTTTCAAGAGTCTTCTCGGGTACTGCTTAGCCCTTTGCATCTCTATATGGATTTTAGAATAAGCTTGTCAAGTCCCACTAGAAAAGTTAGGATTATTTTGTTTACAAATTACTTGGAAGAAAATTTTATCTTCAGAATTGAATCTTTTAGTTCATGAACACTATATACTTCTCATTTAATTAGGTTTTTCTTCAATTCTCTCAACAAAGTTTCCTAATTTTCCTTGAGAAATCTTGCACATATCTTGCTACATACAACCCTTGGTATCTTTTGACATTTAGGAAAGAGTATGCATTTTACAATTTCTTAATCAATAATATACTCTTCTCTTTACTTGACTTGTTTCTTAATCCTGCAGGCCTCAGTTAAAAAAATACAACAGCACTTTCCCCCAAGGCCTCCATGTCCACTACCCTAGGTTAAGTCCCTGATCAAACAGTGCTTTTAGATTATGTTGTATGCCCTTACATCCTAACACTCCTTACATCTGTCACATTAACTGTTCAGTTACCAGTCTCATTCTCATCTTTGACTCATCTCTGTAACCTCCACAGAAATATGTGTGGTGTCTGCCTGCTACCTGCCCAGGGCACAAGGTACTTAGATTTTGGTGAATGACTGCATGCACGTTCATTCATGGACAGTAAACAGATTACTGGGAATTCACACTGGGAAAAGTAGAAGGTACATCTGAATACAGTGGTACCCTGGTTCACAAACAATTCTTTACACGATTCTGGTTGCAAACCAAGTCAAATTCAATGGTCAGGATCGATGTTGACCTTATGGGAAAATTTGATTTGGTTTGAGACCAATTCGGTTTGTGGCCAAACTCATGGAAAGAATTAAGTTCATGAACTGAGGTACCACTAAAGTTGGATGAGGTTGTAGTTAGATGGCTGAATTTTACACTTGATCTTAGCCAAAAGGCCGAGAAGTGACAGATGGCTAAATTTTAATGGGAGTCAGAGGTTTCTAAACAGAAGTTGACATTATGAAGATTCACACAACAATGACTTTAGGAATGGATTGATAAGGGAAGATAACTGGAAGTTAGTCTTACTGGGATATAAAGATAGAAAGGTATGTCATCCATGGTTTCAGGAATAAATGGAAAGGAACAAGATTCAGAAATATAAAACACATCACAAACGATAAAGGCTGAATTTATATATACCCAGCTGCATAGCTAACTGCCAGGAGAGGTAAAGGTTCCCTTTGCTTCCATAAGTATCATGTGTCACCTCTGTCACTAATATGTGACCCTCAGGGCAAAGCCAGGTCTCTATAGAGTGAAAAGCGAGACTAGAAAGTCTGAAAATGTCCAGCCCCCAGTGCTAACCACCATCCTTTGTTTTTGGCTGTTATGTAAATAAGAAATTTATCAGGAACAGAAGGGTACTGAACATGCTCCCAAGGCAAGGTATAGAAAAACTGCAGAAGGATCATCAGAAAAGAAAAGGTAACCACAGCGGCTCCATTCCACAAGTTTGCCTAAAACTTTTCCACAGAAGAGTACTATATATCCAGCTCATTCAGTCACTGAACACACATTAGGTACTAGGAGCTGTTTGTCCCTTCTTTTGGAACCATGTCTTTTCTGACCATTGCCTACTGTACTAAATGTTATTTCAAATCTGCTGGCATCAAACAGTGCTTTTAGATTATCTTTAAATCTTTAAATCTTTTCCATCACCCACCCTTGTGGACTGCACTAAAGTGGCTGTCTTTCCTACCTTTGTCAAAACATAAAGTGCCTTTTACTATGCAAATTAAAATAAATGTTCAGTAAGCAATCAGAAAAACAGTTCTGCAATAAAAACTTTACCTGAGTAAACACATACCTGATTACTGATTGTACTGCTAAGAACTTTAAACCAATCATTAATAACGGCATCATTATCAGACTGAATTAGCAGTTCTGTGCCTTGACGAGTTTTCAGCTTTGGGGGAAGGGAAGAGAGTATGGTCAGTACAGCGCTTCCCCAAATAAATGAACACATTCAATTCCAAGTTTACAACGCAGCCAGCAGGGTTAAGTGTCATGTACTATAGCACTACACAGCTAAAGAGTATCTTATAGTATAAACTAATGCCAGTCTATTTTATAAAACATGAGGTTTTTCAGAATAAAATATAAACATCTAGCAATTTAAGAGCCCAACCTCCAACTCAAAAATTCCATAAATCTTAGTAAACCTAGTATAATTTATTTGAAAATAAAGCCATATCAAATAAGTACCAAAGCACTTAAAATTAAAATTGAAACGCAAAGAAACTTGTTTACATAGCCTGAGAACCTTATCTATTTGGCTCTAAAAATAAGTAAGAAAAAAAGACTAGGGGTATATTTTTAGTATTGCCTACTACATAGGAAAACATTGGCTGAGTACAAAAACAAGGAATGAACAACAAATACCACATCCCTTTTGGGCAAAATTATTATTAAATTGTCAAATCATAAATTGAAGACAATAATTCACGTATAATCTCTCTGGTTGAAAATTTTTTATAGTTTCTTGAGGAAGAATTTTGAGGCAGTTATGAAAAAGTATTCCTTATATTTTCTGGTTGCTAACTGAATCTGTTTTTCCTAGAACATATGGTAATGCTTCCCAAATAACATTTCAAGCATATTCCTAAACCATAGTTCCCCAAATAATGTTTATGAAACGTATTCCTTCCTGAAAGAATGGCTATCATCATCTAATCAAAAAAGAAATGCCAGTGAAGTTGTGGGGGAAAAGGAATGTTTCTACACTGCTGGTAGGAATATAAACTAGTGCAACCACTGTGAAAATTGGTATGGAGAGTCCTCAAAAAACTAAAACTAGAAATGCATTTGACCTAGCTATACACCTTCTGGATATCTTTCCAAAAGAGTTTTTAAAATATTGTATTTAAAAAATACATACATATTCGTATTTACAGCAGCACAACTCACAATAGCTAAATCTTAAAAACCGCCTATATATCCATCAACAGATGGATAAAGGGAATATGACAATCGAGTACTACTTAGCCATGAAGGACGGGTTTAGTCATACGTAGGAAAATGGATGCACCTTGAGACCAAAATGGTAAGCAAAATAAATCAGACATGGGGTTAAATACTGCATGGTTTCTCCATATGAGAAAGCTAAAGTATAAATGATTTAGAGAACAAAATAAAAGATAGATGATAGGAAATGGGGAGACAGAACTTTTGTGGGTGGAAAGGGAATACAAGGATGGAGGGTGAAGGAAAGGAGGAGATAGGAAGGGGACATGAAAAGGACTAAGACACAATATATGTATATACCAACTCCCTTTGATGAACATATTCATTATGTATTGCACACATATACTAATAAAAATTTTTTTAAGTTTTAAATGAAAAAAAGAAAGGTACCTCTCAAAAAATAAATTTGAAAAATTATGTGATTATTTTGGAAAATACTGGAATGAACAAAGTGTAGTAAGATATTCTCCTTCAAAATTTCTCAGGCCTTTGGTATTCTAGGGTGTACTGCGATTTTCTAAGACGGATGAAATATGTACTACTTCCCCAATTTATCTGATCATGGAATCCTTTTCATTCTGTAATCACCTACTGAAACTGCAAAGCTAGATAAGGAAACACTGATTCCTTTCATGCATCCTTCCAGAGAGCTGGTAAAGCCAGACAACCAACACTGAGTGTTCAATGCACGCTGATCTCTGTTAGAGGAACTAAAGAAAAAAACAGTCTCTATTTGAAGGGAAAATAGAAACATTTAATAATCTAGTGAAAACTTAAAATACACTAAAATATATATTTTTAAAGTTAAAAAAATCACTGTTGTGGTGTCTGTCATGAGTCTTGGAAAGTAAGCGACACCTGATGAGCGGAGACTAGCATGGGCTGGTGCTTACGGCAAAGAAGGAAGAGCAACAATCACAGGGCGTTACTTGGGGAATAGCAATGAACCCAATCTGCCTAGACAACAAGTCAGGAGGCCACAGGGAACGCTGGTGTCTGGAAGACTGTGGGACAGCCTCAAGGATTCCTCTGATCCATATACGCACTTCCTCTGCAGTGGATGTGCTTCTCCTCTGCCAACAAGTGGGCCTTTATTGCCCCATAACCATAAAAACTTGGCTGGCTCTCTGAATACTTGCATAGAATACACCAAACGTGATGTGTGACTGCAGATCTTGGCTTTGAGAAGCCTGAAGTGTCAACTCTCACACTCCGGAAGCCTCCCACTGCCATGTGAAGCATGGGTGGGGCAGCTTCCCTAAGAACAGAGAGGTCACAGAGAAGAGGCCAAGCCATCAGCCAGCACCAACATCACCACGTGAATAAGGTCACCTGAGCTTAGCCCACCCCACTTCTCTCAAGGCTCATCAATGGTCCCAAGTGAGAACAGAAGACAGTCTGTGCCAGAAAGAAATGGCACTTTCGCTAAGCTGCTAGTTTGAAGTGGTCGGTTACATTCCATAATAACAAAAGATACAGGATCGTATATTACTGTGGAGAGCTTTGAATGACAAAGTAGGAAGGTTTTGTTTTTTTTTTTAAGATTTTGGTTTTTTTTTTAAACTGAGAACGTACAAGATATTGCATACATCCCTGGCTCCATACTTGTAAGCCTCCCAATATCAGTATTTCCTTTCATTCATTTTTTAACACTAGATTTGGTAAGTACAGGGAATCGCATCATCTTCCCTGTTGCAGGATTTATGAAACAAAAGCTTGTAATACAGTCTCAGTTCTGGTTACTTCTGCAAATGAAGCTGATTTTTATACTGTCTTTCCCCCATTACGTTACGGCACAAATTGACTTAATCACCAATTTTGTCCTAACTATAAGGCAAATTAAAGACTATTCCCTAAAGAGAGTATTCAATTACTATGGTTAAGAATGTGAGCTATACTTAGAAAAAAAATTACTACCTCAAATACGTTCTTCTTGCTGGATTTGTCCTTTGAGGCCATCTCAATCGTTGCCCCCTTGAGGTCCACTGTGAACTCTGGCTTGGACTGATTACTCCCAAACTTCATTTTAGGAAAAAGGAAAAGCCTTTATGTGATATTCGCAAATACATGTTTAGAAAGAATTAGTATTTATATTATTAACAATAAGTCAAATTGATTATCTTGAATTATCCTCTTTTTGTAGTATAAATGCTACTTTAAAAATTGAAAAATGTCTAGAAGTATAAAAATATGGTTTATAAAAAACAAAAGTGGCTCAATTTCTATATATGGCCACACTGAATCTGTTTTCTCACCTATCAGAGTAGAAACAATCCATAATTACGTAGGCAAGGTGATAAAATGATAATCCCTTGTACGCAAGTGGGATGTAAACTGTAATAACTCCCAGGGAGGAAGAGTGGACAACACTATTATTTGCAAATTAGCAGATACATGGATCTGTTGGCTTAGCAGTTCTATGTCTTTGAATTTATCCTGACTATATATGGCTGTGTAAACATGACATGGTCAAAAAGGCAAGGCAATAGTCTTAAACATGTATAAATAATATCAGGCAGATAGTAAGTACATTTTCCACCTAGTAAACATTCTCGAACCGTAATGCTGTGCTTTCAAGAGTTATTTCCTGCCGGGTGTGGCGGCGCATGCCTGTAATCCCAGCACTCAGAAGGCTGAGGCAGCAGTAGGATCACTGTGAGTTTGAGACCAGCCTGGGCTACATAGTGAGTTCCAGGTCACTCTCAACTACATTGTGATTTAAAAAAAAAAAAAAAAAAAAAAAAAAGTTATTTCCTTATCTGTTATTTATGTTGTCAACTACTAACTTGTAAAAAAACCAGAAAACCCTAAGCCTCATCTTTTTTTCAGCCCTTGTTAGAAACTGTAACCAAAGCAGATGCTAACTGGGGAGATGTGAAGACAGCTCTGACAGAGGTGGCTGAGGAAAAAAAAGCACTTATTTATTATACTGTGTTAAACAGATAAGGAGAAGATTAGCAAACAGATGATGTACATGAAATATACTTATTCTAATATTTAGCCATCATTAACTTAGATTTATGTTAGTCTGTTATGAATATAAAATAGCATTCCTATGGTACACAAAGGCTTGGATATTTTAAAACCTTTAAAAGTTAATTATAATCTAAAGGTCATAAAGTTATAAGTATTTCTTATAAATTTCATTTGCTAAGACAGTGGCAATATAGTCCAATTGCACCTTGTGGTAACTTATTCACTATTTGTAATACAGTAATTCTACTTGGCAGCTTCACACATAAGATATGGTTAAATTTCAACTGCTGCCTCTTCATCTGATTAGCTAATAGAGTAGACTTAAGGCACTTCTCAAAACAAAATTTAGGAGTAATATGGACTTTACTAGTGGACTTCTGATAAAAATGAAAATGAAATTTTAACCATTTCCTACAAAGTCTTTGTAGTACTTTTTAAAGTACTTTTGCCATCCGGAAATACTCAAATAATCATAAATTTTTATGATAGGCACAATAACTTCCTGAGCAGAAATGATACACCTCAAAAATAATAAAGTCTGAATATAATTTTAAAAGCATAACAAAATTGATTCATTTCTTGTCATTAAATACTGTACAGATGGTTAGTTATGTAAGACACAACCAACCAACCAGTTGAATATAAATATAACATGAAACAATGCTAGAAAAATGCGATCAATATGGTTGGCAACAAATTTTGTCTATTTATTTTTTCCCAAAATCTTATCCACTTTAACTACTTTCCTGCCAATGTAATCATAGCAAAAAAAAAAAAAAGTATTGTGGCAAGAGTTGTGCAACAAGAACACATACAACAACAGCCAGAACTGGGTCAGACTGTACACATGCGATAGCAGGCGGACAGCTGACAGTCTTTCTAAGGGGAAAGCAGTGAAAGCAGTAACTCAGAGACTGAGCGCTGTTGGCAGAAGGACTTGATGGGACAAGGGAAGAAAATGAAGTCATAATGTGCCAGCAAGGTGGCACACAGGAGAAAAAGGCACAGTGGAACTGGATAGGACACAAGTGTAATTCTATGAGCAGACACAACACAAGCAAAGCTGCACTTCCAAAATACTCCTGCAAAAGCCCTGGCACCTCTGAGTATTTTATATATTTGTTATTACATAAATTTGTACTTTTTCAGATGCATGCTTTACTGAACTTATCTTAAAATAGACCCATCCCAGCTATATTCACAAAAGAATACTTCCAGCAACAGTAAGGACTGTGCCACCTCACTCAGCCACTGCGCAGAATCCCTGGGCGCCCCCTGCTGGCCCGCTGGGAAGGTCCTCTGGTACCCTTCCCAATCACTTCCTGGGAGACACCTCCCATCTAACTTGCCTGCCTCTTGCTCTGTCCTCCAGGGGTCATCCAGCAACCTCTAGTTCTCTCAGCAGAGGGCGGATGCTGGTCATCTGCTAAACACCCAGAGCACACACAGCAGCCTCCCCATACACCCACAACAAAGAATTATCTGGCAAAAAAAGGGAACTTTTAGATCCCTGAAAATATGTAGGAATATGTGAACAACTACTGGTATTTGGAGGGTGATTTTTGTACCAGGGATCAAACTCAGGTCCTTGCTCTTGCAAGGCAGGTGGCTGAAATCCCTGGCCCTGGAGGATGATTTTTAATACTCAAAGGATACGGACAAACATTTATCACATTGTAGCTATTCACTTGCCAGTCCTCCTCACTACACAGAAACGCTGAAGAGAGGATCCATGTTATTTACTTCCGAATTCCACACTCACCAAAATGCCCACACTGTAGGCTTTATGTCGACTGAACAAACAAACATGCATACATTTCTGAGGTGAAATCAGGTGATGAGGAGGAGAGGGGAAGAGAAGGCAAGGCTTGTTACATTTATTTTATTGATGTAATACTCCAAAATATTATTAAGGACTTTCCTGAAAACTAGTCTGAAAAAGGCCAGTCTCACTGGAGTTTTGGCTGATATAATCTTGTAAGGTGGGGCTGCAGGCAGCACATGTGTTTTTCATTTACTTGATTCTAACTACTCAGCCTCTGCATAAATAAACAAGAAACACGAATGATCCAAACCAGTGGAGTTGGACTGGTGTGGGTGACACACCCTTGAGTGAATGAGATCCAACCTGTTCAAGTGGATCTCTTAGGTTTTTACACTAAGTCTGAATCTAATTTTTAAACAACTATACTTCTCTTACAATGTGGTCCCTTAACAACTAACCAACTCAACTCAAATGGAGAACACCAAAGGAAAAAACTGCCTCTGAGAAAGACCAGCTTCAAAATAGCACCTGTGAGTTCTGTCCTTCAGGCACTTATGCTAGTCTTACACTTTCATCCTACAGAACGATGTGGCTGCAACCAGAAAATCGGGGTATCCTTTACCTGCAACAGACCCAGCGGAGCACAGAGGCAAAGCTGGAATTCCTTCCAATCCTTCTGACCTCTCGGGGCAGGGAGCACAGTACTGGGGAATGAACCCAGGCCTCTGCACTGATCTATGTCCCTAGCCCTTTCGTAGTTTTGAAACAAAAGTCTTGCTAAACTGGTCAGGCTGGGCTTGAATTTGAGATCCTCCTGACTTAGCTCTCCAAAATTCTGGGCTTACAGACATGTGCCAATAGGGACAATCTTGCATACTTCACCAATTTTTGATACTTCTGAAATAGTACTTAACAAAATATACTCATATACTTTTTACTTAAATAGTATTACTTCATTTTACTTTGACCATTTAAATTTGCTTTTCTTCCTTTAATATGTGGGAATGAATCCGAGGTTTAAAAATTAGCTATAACTGGATGTGGTGGCGCATGCCTGTAAACCCAGCACTCGGGAGGCTGAGGCAGCAGGACCACTACAAGTTGGAGACCAGCCTGAACTACACAGTGAAACCCTGTCTCCAAAAGAAAAAAAAAAAAAA